TACTTACCTGTTGCCACAAATCTTATTAATATGAGATTGCAAAAAAAGCCTTCTATCACTTGTCCTTTCCCTTTCATATCTTTTAACTGTTTTTTAAATGCACTAATCCTATAAAAATAAACTAGGAATATTTTCTAGATGAGTTTTCCGACATTTGGAATTGCCTAATTTTTTACAAGTTGGTAGAAAATACCTATACAATATGTGTTTCATTTCTTTATTGATTTTTCCATTTCAAATATAGCTACTTTAAAATGAACAACTCGGTGACATTCAATACATTCATGATATGTGTGACCATTTATTTTATATTGTTCCAGAATGTCTCAAGCACTGTAACACAAAATTCATGCTTATTAAACAGATTCTCCTCGTTTGCCCTCTCCCCATCATCAGGAAACCACCAACCTAGGTAACGTCTCCAGTTATTTATGATTCTATTCCCCTATTCTGGATATATAATATAATAAAATACACAATAAGTGATTTTCAGTGTCTGGTTTACTTTACTTTGCAGATTCCTCCATCAACAAAGATTTCAGCTGTTTCTGTCTTCTTACTATTGTTAGTAATCTATGCTATGAAAATGAGTGTGCAAATACTTATTTGAGATCCGATTTTCAATTCTTTTAGTTGTATACCCAGATGTGGGAATGCTGATCATGTAGGAGTTCTACTTTAATTTTTTGAGAAATTCTGAAATGTTTCCCATCATTTATGCCCAATTTTAAATTCACACGTGTCCCATTTTTTTCCACATCCTCACCAACAATTGTATTTTTGTGGTGTTTTATTTGTCTTTATAGCAGACATACTAGGATGTGTGAGCTTGTATCTCATTGGGGTTTAGATTTGAATTTTTGTAATGATTATGTTTAGGATCTTCTTACATACATTTTTGGATATTTGGAGAAATATCTACTGAAATATATTATCTACATCAGGTTATTTGATGTATTGTTGAGTTTCATAGTTCTCTATATAGTCTATTTATTAATCTTTTACCAAATATAAAGATTTTAAATATTATTATTTCAAATGTTATGAAGGTGATTTCCCCATGGTTTCTTCCAGGACATTTTAAAATTTAGACCTCATGGTTAAATATTCAATCCAAGTTGAGTTATTTAGCCTACATTTACATTAAATCTAAAAGGAGTTTCTTGTAGGCAACATATAGTTGAGTTTTGTTTTTATTGATTCTGTATATTTTTATATGATAATTTAACAAGTTTACATTTAAGGTAATAACTTTCAATGTGTTTGTTTTCTATGTGTTTTGTAATTTTTGTTCCTCATTTCTTCTTTGACTTCTTCCATGTTTGTTGATAATTTTTTGTTTGGAGTGATGTTCATTTATTTTTTGTGCATTTCTATAAATATTTTTCTTGTGGTACCATTGCAATAATATAAAGATCTTAAAATGACATTGTATTTCAATTATAGACAAAAGCTCTCCTCTTTTATAACTCTACTCCTCTACTTTATGACAATTTAACGAGATGTGAGCTACCTACAAGAAACAAAGTTGGGGGAAATGAATAAGAGCAAATGACATGTCTGAAAAATCTTTTTTTATGTTTTTTATTATTTTAAAAAATGTTTTAAGGTGAACAAAATTCATGTATTTGATATATATAGATTTAGGAACATAGTGAAACTTTCCATACTACCCTCCCTGTTGCCCATGCTCCTGCCCTTCCTCCTTATTCCTCTCTGAATAATCTTTTAAAAAATATTCACTCTTTAAGAAAATTAGTTCAAAGTCATTGATGGGGTGCAGGGGGTTAAGCTGCTCCCTGTAACATCGACATCCCATATCAGATTGCTGGTAGGAGCCTCAGCTGCTCCACTTCTGATCCAGCTCCCTGCTAACGTACCTAGGAGAACAGCAAAAGATGGCCCAGCTACTTGTACTGCTGCCAGCCATGGAAGAGACAGATGGAGTTTCTGGCTCCTACCTTCAGCCTGGTTCAACTGTAATCATCATGGTCATTTGAGAAGTGGACCAGGGTGTGGAAGCTCTCTGTCACTCTGCCTTTCAAATAAATAAAATAAGCCTATTTTTAAGAAAGAATTTGAATTCCATTCATATTTTTTCAATTAGAGTAAGGATGTAAGGGTATACAATTATAAATGAAAATAATGAATCTGATTATAATTCAAGTGAATAAGAAAACATTATGTAAATTAAATCACAAATTCGGTATCTTAAATACAGTATTTTTTATTTAGAAAATAAATATATTGATGTATTCAGATTAAGAAACCCGATATGAGAAGAAAGCATTTAGAGGACAAAATTTCAAATATTAAATTAAGAAGGGGGGCCAGCCCCATGGATCACTTGGTCAATCCTCCACCTGCTGCGCCGGCATCCCATTTGGGCACCAGGTTCTAGTCCTGATTGCTCCTCTTCCAGTCCAGCTCTCTGTTGTGGCCTGGGAAGGCAGTGGAGGATGGGCCAAGTGCTTGGACCCTAAGCCCGCATGAGAGACCAGGAGGAATCACCTGACTCCTGGCTTCAGATCAGCATAGTTCTGGCATTAGCGGCCTTTTGAGGGATGAACCAAGGAAAGGAAGACCTTTCTCTCTGTCTCTCTCTCACATTGTCTGTAACTATACCTGTCAAATAAATAAATAAATACAAATCTTTTAAAAAATTAAGAAGGCAGGAAGATCATTGGTGAAATTTAAACTGTAATTATTTATACGGACTGATTATTTCTTTGGAAAGGTACCAAATAAATGAGCTTCCAGCGCATCTCAAGGACCTAGAAAAACTGCAGCAAACCAGACCCAAATCTAGTAGGAGAAGAGAAATAATTAAAATCAGAGAAGAAATCAACAGGATTGAATGCAAAAAAATTACAAAAATTCAGCCAAGCGAAGAGCTGGTTTTTTGAAAAAAATAAACAAAGTTGACACCCCATTGTCCCAACTAACTAAAAAAAGGAGAGAAAAGACCCAAATCAATAAAATCAGAGATGAAAAAGGAAACATAAAAACAGACACCACAGAAATAAAAAGAATCATCAGAAAGGACTTGTATGCCAGGAACAGAAAAATCTATCAGAAATGGATAAATTCCTGGACACATGCAATCTACCTAAATTGAACCATGAAGACATAGAAAACCTAAATAAACCCATAACTGAAACAGAAATTGAAACAGTAATAAAGGCCCTCCCAACAAAGAAAAGCCCAGGACCAGATGGATTCACTGCTGAATTCTACCAGACATTTAAAGAAGAACTAATTCCATTTCTTCTCAAACTATTCAGAACAATAGAAAAAGATGGAATCCTCCCAAATTCTTTCTATGAAGCCAGCATCACCTTAATTCCTAAGCCAGAGAAACGTGCAGCACTGAAAGAAAATTATAGACCAATATCCCTGATGAACATAGATGCAAAAATCCTCAAAAAAAAAAAACTCGCCAATAGAATACAACAACACATCAGAAAAATCATCCAGACCAAGTGGGATTTATCCCTGGTATGCAGGGATGGTTCAACATTCGCAAATCAATCAATGTGATTCACCACATTAACAGACTGCGGAAGAAAAACCATATGATTGTCTCAATAGATGCAGATAAAGCATTCAATAAAATTCAACACCCTGTCATGATGAAAACTCTAAGCAAATTGGATGTAGAAGGAACATTCCTCAATATAATCAAAGCAATTTATGAAAAAACCACGGCCAGCATCCTATTGAATGGGGAAAAGTTGGAAGCATTTCCACTGAGATCTGGCACCAGACAGGGATGCCCACTCTCACCACTTCTATTTAACATAGTTCTGGAAGTTTTAGCAGAGCCATCAGACAAGAAAAAGAAATTAAAGGAATACAAATTGAGAAGGAAGAAGTCAAACTATCCCTCATTGCAGACGATATGATTCTGTACTTAGAGGATCCAAAGAACTCTACTAAGAGACTATTGGAACTCATAGAGGAGTTTGGCAAAGTGGCAGGATATAAAATCAATAGCCTTTGTATACACAAGTAATGCCATGGCTGAGAAAGAACTGCTATGATGAATCCCATTTACAATAGCTACAAAAACAATCAAATAACTTGGAATAAACTTAACCAAGGACGTTAAAGTTCTCTACGATGAGAATTACAAAATCTTAAAGAAAGAAATAGAAGAGGATACCAAAAAATGGAAAAATCTTCCATGCTCATGGATTGGAAGAATCAACATCATCAAAATGTCCATTCTCCCGAAAGCAATTTATAGATTCAATGCAATTCCAATCAAGATACCAAAGACATTCTTCTCAGATCTAGAAAAAATGATGCTGAAATTCCTATGGAGGCACAAGAGACCACGAATAGCTAAAGCAATCTTGTACAACAAAAACAAAGCCAGAGGCATCACAATACCAGATTTCAGGGCATACCACAGGGCAGTTGTAATGAAAACAGCATGGTACTGGTACAGAAACAGATGGATAGACCAATGGAACAGAATTGAAACACCAGAAATCAACCCAAACATCTACAGCCAACTTATATTTGATCAAGAATCTAAAACCAATTCCTGGAGCAAGGACAGTCTATTCAATAAATGGTGCTGGGAAAACTGGATTTCCACATGCAGAAACATGAAGCAAGACCCCTACATTACACCTTACACAAAAATCCACGCAACATGGATTAAATACCTAAATCTATGACCTGACACAATCAAGTTATTAGAGAACACTGGAAAAACCCTTCAAGATATTGGCACAGGCAAAGAGTTTCTGGAAAAGAACTGGGAGACACAGGCAGTCGAAGCCAAAATCAACTATTGGGATTGCATCAAAGTGAGAAGTTTCTGTACTGCAAAAGAAACAGTCAGGAAAGTGAAGAGACAACCGACAGAATGGGAAAAAATATTTTCAAACTATGCAACAGATAAAGGGTTAGTAACCAAAAGCTACAAAGAGATCAAGAAACTCCACAAAAACAAAACAAACAACCCACTTAAGAGATGGGCCAAGGACCTCAATAGACATTTTTCAAAAGAGGAAATCCAATGGCCAACAGACACATGAAAAAATGTTCAAGATCACTAGCCATCAGGGAAATGCAAATCAAAACCACAATGAGGTTTCACCTCACCCCTGTTAGAATGGCTCACATTCAGAAATCTACCAACAACAGATGCTGGAGAGGATGTGTGGAAAAAGGGACACTAACCCACTGTTGGTGGGAATGCAAACAGGTCAAGCCACTATGGAAGTCAGTCTGGAGATTCCTCAGAAACCTGAATATAACCCTACCATTCAACCCAGCAATCCCACTCCTTGGAATTTACCCAAAGGAATTTAAATTGGCAAACAAAAAAGCGGTCTGCACCCTAATGTTTATTGCAGCTCAATTCACAATAGCCAAGACCTGGAACCAACCTAAATGCCCATCAACGGTAGACTGGATAAGAAATTATGGGATATGCCCTCTTTAGAATACTATACTGCAGTAAAAAGCAGTGACATCGAGTCATTTGCAACAAAATGGAGGAATCTGGAACACATCATGCTGAGTGATGTAAGCCAGTCCCAAAGGGACAAATATCATATGTCCTCCCTGATCGGTGACAACTGACTGAACACCAAAAAGGAAACCTGTTGAAGTGAAATGGGCACTATGAGAAATGGTGACTTGATCAGCCCTTGCCCTGACTGTTAATGAACAACTTAATACATTATCCCTCTTAGTATTTTTTTTTGTCTGTTATACTTAATACTACTTGTTTAATTCTGTAATTAATACACAGTTATTCTTAAGTGTTAAAATTTAACTGAAATGTGATCCCTGTTAAACATAAGAGTGGGAATAAGAGAGGGAAGAGATGTACAATTTGGGACATGCTCAAGCTGACTTGCCCCAAATGGTAGAGTTAGAAACATACCAGGGGACTCCAATTCAATCCCATCAAGGTGGCATATACCAATGCCATCTCACTAGTCCCAGTGATCAATTTCAGTTCACAATTGATCATAATGAAAGAACTAAGAGTCAAAGGGATCACATAAACAAGTCTAGTGCCTGCTAATAATAACCGATAGAATAAATAAAGGGGAGAGCGATCCAACATGGGAAGCGAGATACACAGCAGACCCATAGAATGGCAGATGTCCTAAACAGCACTCTGGCCTCAGAATCAGCCCTAAAGGCATTTGGATCTGGCTGAAAAGCCCAGGAGAGTATTTCAGGCATGGAAATCCAAGACACTCGGGCAATAAGAAAATTACAAAAGACAGAAAAATAAACCTCAATGAAAGATCTCTGTGAGTGAGATCCCAGTGGAAAGAACAGGTCTTCAAGGAAGGAGGTACATTTCTCTGAAGGGAGGAGAGAACTTCCACTTTGACTATGACCTTGTCTAATTAAGATAACAGTCGGAGAACTCAGAAGGCTTCTATAGCCTTGGAAACTCATGACTGGAGCATAGGGAGATTACTGATGCCATAAACAGGAGTGTCAATTTGTAAAGTCATCAACAGGAGTCACTGTGCACTTACTCCTCATGTAGGATCTTTGTCCTTAGTGTGCATTGAGATTTAATGCTATATCGAGTACTCAAACAGTATTTTTCACTTTGTGTTTCTATGGGGGTGCAAACTGTTGAAATCTTTACTTAATGTATACTAAACTGATCTTCTGTATATATAGAAAATTGAAAATGAATCTTGATATGAATGGAAGGGGAGAGAGTGCGGGAAAGGGGAGGGTTGCGGGTGGGAGGGAAGTCATCGGGGCGGTGGGGGGAAGCCAATGTAGTCCATAAGCTGTACTTTGGACATCTATATGCATTAAATAAAAGTTAAAAAAAGTAAAAAAATAAAAAATGGACTGATTATTTCTAAAAATGAGTATGAATATGACCATGCAATTACATGAGTATATGTTTGTGTGCATTGTGAATATATCTGTGTGGATGGCCATGAACATGTTACCTGGGTATGTCCACTGAGTAAGCCTAAATCCAAAATAATAACAGCATTGAGTAAATCTAACATAGAGCAAACATATAATGATTTAGAACACACTTCCCTCAAAAAAATTTAGGGTCCTAAGATAAGTAGCTAATTCTGAGCTGATTCATTGATATACCAGATAATGCTGTGCCAGAAAGTTAGGGAGTATTAAAATATTTTGTAATGCATGTATGTCACAAAGATACAGGTACCCCTTGAATGAGATTCCGATGGCCAAACCTGGGACAATAAAATTAAGGGCAATGATTAAATATAAACTTTGGAATAGATGGAAATTCATGGGCACATATCTACAAAATGAGAAGATAGATAGATGATATGGTTTTTGTTTTCAACATGTCAAACTTTTATACTGTTGAAAAATGGAATAGAAAACAATCATTGTGAAACCATCAAACTAATATTGATCCAGGCGGTAATCTTTACTGGGTGATTAATACAAGAGTGAGGGGGAATTGATGAGGATATCCTCATAAACATAAAGTGCCCTATCATAAAATTTGTATTAATTATAACTTAAAAAATTATGAGCAATTGTATAACAAAGACATTTGCTAAATTTATTGCAATTTCTGAGTAATTTCAGTAGTGCTACCAAGCCAAAAATCCAATAAGACGTATTTTTAAATAACTATGCTCAAATAACTCAACACTTGTAATTATTAATGGATTACCTAATAGATTTTTGTTTAAAAATTACCTAATAGATTTTTGTTTAAAAATGTTATGTCTTGAAGCAATATATAACCTTTGTTTTTTGTTCTTGAACATCCTAATAGGATGTGTGCAACTTTGGGCATTCAACAAACACTTAACCGTGTAATGAGGGTAGACACTGCACTTTCACAGTGTGTTGTATGTGTGTGTACTTCTTTTTCTCACAGTGATCACTAAACTGTAGTTTTGAAGTTGTCTGTGGAAAAAATATAGCATGATCTAATTTTATAATTGTGAGATCACATCAAGTGAATAGTATATGTAGTTTTGGTAATTGTCACATATTATTTGCTTCTCCAGAAATTAAAGTTATCCTCCAGCATCACATGTGCTCATCAAGAAATACTGGGATGGCTTTTCATCAAGTTAGAGAACTATGCTTATAATGAACAAATCAGATTGCATTTTGATAGCATACAAAACAATAACACCAGTAGAGGGGCAGATGGACACTGTGTGTCACCAGATGTGATGCCCTGGAAAGGATAGAATAATTCTTCTTATTATGAACCTGGATCTAGTCATGAACAAGTGACAGAGAAACCTTTAAAGAGTTTTGTTTTGAAGTGAAAGTTAAAACAACAACAGAATGAGAGGAAAATATATTTTAATACTATCAATCCATAAGGCTTATAAAAAAGAGGACTAATAGTTACCAATTTAGGGAGACTAAAAGATGAAACAACTCAATATAATACTCGGTTGCACAATGGATCTTTTACTGATGGAAAAATTATCTAGGCAGGACACCATTGGATCAATTGGCAAATCAGAGCATAGGAAACAATTTAAAGGAAAGCATTCTATCAATGAGAAATGTACTGATACCCATAATTGCATGGTGATACAGGTGGTATCAGGGATACATCAGGGATATCAGGGATAAAAGGCGATGATACAGCATACTCTCAGATTGTTCAGAAAAAGAAAAAGGTAAGAAACAAAAGAGGATGAGCAATGAATAAATCACTTTAGTTGAAAAATTAACAATAGTACATGGTAAAGAGTGTTCTGTGTGTCATTCCTGAAAGTTTCTATAAGTTTCAAGTTATTTATAATTAAAAGTAAAAATTATATAAGTATTTTGTTGTAATTTATCTACATAAGTATCTTGGAAAGAGGATTTTGTTTTGTTTTGTTTTCTGTTTGTTGTTTTTGCTTATTCTTATGATTTCTGTTGGAAGAAACATTTTATTCTCTAGTTATTTCTTGACATATGATATGATTTTTAAAATAAAATAGGGTATTAAAGAATTATTCTAAAGATGTCTGAGGAAATTTCTCTTATTTCGACTTTGATCATAATATTTTTTCTTAGTGATACTTTTTCCCCTTCCTAATTCTATTATCTCCCTTTCAAGTTTGTCATTATCAAACCAGATTAATTATGAATTTGTAATTCTCATCCATTTTTGAGCTAATTAGAGTTTAAACAGCTTGACCTCTTTTGTATTTTAATCTTTATTTTAAAAACACGTGAATATTCATTTACTATAGAAACACTTGCTGATAAATGAAAATTGCAAGCTTACACATTATTTTTGGATACTTAAGATACTGTCTGTTGAAATTAACCCAAGCAGAAGGATGATAATGTTATTGCACTTAGTGCACCTCCTAATACAATGTTAGTGATGTCATGTGGACAACGTTTATACAAATACCAAATATTTCCAACTGTGTGTTTGAAAATATAATAATGGGCAACTTCCAGCAAGGAGAAATGATCATGAGTATTTGCACATCGATTCACCTGAGTTTTAACTTTCCATTGTATTACAGTTTCCTAGAATAAGCTCTGTAGTATTAATAAAATAACCATAATTTTTGAATTAATTAAGGAAAAGTATGCTTTTAGGCAGTGAGTGAAGATTGCAATCATGTTGGTCATTTATTCTCACCTCTGAGGAAAAAAGAAAAAAACACCTGATTTTTTTCAATATCAAGGAATAGGGTATAAGATATGAATCTATTATTCCTAGGATTTTGAGGCACAGAATATGATTGAATACAAAACGGATGGAAACATTCCATTTATATTTTACATGTTCTGGAAAGCAAATAAACAAACAGAATATAAAAATTATTGGTGTTCTCTTATCATTCAAAATCCCTTACCTTCCCTATCTTGCAATATGATGTGTACTCTAATTTCAGTCTCTCTAATTGTAAGCATGCTGACCTTCACCTAAACTTTAAAATAGTTTTATTCCACCTTTTTGAATGATACTTCTAAGATGTGTACACATGTCATTGGAGTTATACCTTCACTAAAGCAAGGAACTGTCTCCTCCTCCTCCTCCTCCTGCTTCTTATTCTTCCTCTTTCCTCCTTGCTCCTCCTCTTCCTCTTTCACTTCTTCCTCCTCTTCCTTCTCCTCCTGCACTTCTTCCTCTTATTCTTATTCTCATCCCCCTCCTAATCCCATTTCAAGCTCTGGTCACTCCATTAAAGGAACACTATTTTTAATTACTCAAGAGCTTTCAGAGATTAATTTGGAAGCATGTTTTCAAGTTTCCTAAATATCCTGGCATTATTCCTCTTTTGAAATCCTTTCCTCAGATTTTGACAGCCACACTCTACTTATCTTATTCTGTTGTCTATGGTTTTGGCTTCTTGATCACTTTTTTTTCTGTCATCATCACTCTCTCAACACAGGACTTATTCAAGATTTGTTTCTATTTTTTCCTCTTTTCAATCTCATCTTCTATGCTAGTAGC